AATAACAAGTGTAATATCCACTAAAGCAAAGCTTAAGTATATAACACCAACAGGCCTATTGTTCGTGGGCTGAGGGAGATGCAGGCCTGGGAATGAGAAATCGAAATCTGCAGCGACTCGCGAGAAGGCTCCTCGGCTGGGCGCGCGCGCGGCGGGGAAGGCGGCCGCGGGGATGAGTGGCGATGGGGTTTGGGGAATTTTTTTGGTAATTTACTATCAATGTTTTCTTCAAGTTTTGGACCAGAGATGAAGTGAGAATTTCATATTTTCCCTTGGGAAGAAGAGCAAAAACGAGAAAAATGTGGTGAAGGGAGGGGAATTAATTCTCCAAATTAATGAGGCAACCAAAAGATTTAAGATGCCATAAAAAGGCCTCACAAATTCGGGACTTGACCATGTGGAGAAAAGAAAGAAGGGTTGGTCACAAACTTACCATACATGCATTGGAGTTATTTGAATTTCAAATGAAAAAATATACTAAGGTAAAAAGGATCTCCAAGCTTAAAAAGGGGCTGGTTTTTAGAGTGATTTGGCCGGGTTCCTAAAGTCCTAAAAGAACCAAAATTGGACACCAGCGGGATCAAAATAAGTATCCGAGGTTCGGGTTGAAATGGCTCGAAAACAAATCGAAACAGAGAAAGGTTCGGTTTACGCGATTAAACCGAAAATTGGCGAAACAATTAAAATTTCAATCAAATAAATCATAATAATTCTAACAGATGTAAATAATAAATAAACACATAATATCCACTTAAATAATTCCCCATATCAATTAAATAAATAAGCAGATAAACGAGACAAGCAGTTAATAACAATAATCGAGCAAATAACAAATAATTCAAAGATCAAATAATAATAATAATAACAAATAAAAGAAAATCTGAAGATTCCATTAAACGAACGGGGCGCTACACAACTAGGCTTTTAAATTCTCGGAGGGGGGAGGAGGGGAGGAGGGAAGGCGCTGGAGAGCTTGAGCAGTGCTCGTTTTGTCGGCGCAGTGATCCTGGACGGAGACCGAGACTGGGGAGCAATCAGATGGTTTTGGAGGTGTTGAGGAAGGTGAATTTTTTCTTTTACTTTTTTTTTTCTTTAGCAAATGGGGGTAAATTTTTTAATTTTACAATCTAAATAATTTAAGGGAAAATGACGTGGAAAAAATTAAAGTGTCCACATTAGCCTAGTCAACGCCAAAATTTGCCAACTCAACAACTTTCTAATCAAATTTCGGCGATCAGGGTCGAAATAGGACTAAAACTAAAATTTTAAGTTTTTGGACCAATTTTGGTTTTAACTAATTTACTGAACGAAAATGCGAAATGATCTACATTACTGGATTAAAACTATAATTTTCCTTCAAATAATAAATTGGTGAATTGACAACAAAAGCAAGTACTACCCTTTCATGCCCTATCTTTGAAGTTGTTAGTTCTCAGAACATCTCTTTGTTATGTAACTGTTGGCTGGTGATTCTACCTATCTTTGAAACAAGTTTCAAAATTGAGATTATTAATGGTGCTAGTACAAAGATTCATGATATTAACTGGATTCCAAACCTGACTAAACTGAGACCCCATTTAACTGATATTGCTAGAGGGCATTTAATATGGGTCAAGGGATTGATGAACAATGATGGACTGAGTTGGAACACATGGCAAGTTAAACTGGTCTTTGATGAGGAAGACAACAAGGCAGTGCTATCAGTTTCCTCCCTCAATCCCAACAAACAAGACAAATTGTATTGGGGATTGGATAAGAAAGGCATGTTCACAGTTTCATATATCTTTTTACTCTATGCTGGTTAAATGAAAAGTGCAAGAGCTGGACTTCTCAAAAGAACGCTTTACCTCAAAGTTTATTAAAGCTGGCAGAGTTGTAACCTGAAAATTGAAGGTCAACATCAAGCTAAAGCACTTCATTTGGAAGTGTTGCTCATGAACCCTACCTGTTAAAGTCAATCTGAAGAAGAGGGGGATAGAAGTTGATGTCATCTGTCAAAGTTGCGGTGAAACCTCAGAATTAATATAACATGTCTTTTTCTAATGCCCTCGAGCTCAAAGACTATGAGAGATTGGCTCTGACCACTGGGAAGGTTTATGTGCGCCTGCTATCTGTTTCTGGTGGGGAAACATGCTCTATAGGCCGCACAAAGGTAGCATAGACAAGTATTCAACTCACCACATACATGCTCTGGTGGCTCAGACGATCTAGAACCCTGTGGCTCTTTGAATGAACTAGAATGCCAGTGAGGGTGATCCTCAATCACTACAAAAAAACACTACAATTCCCACGGCAAAAATTCCCGTTGGAAATTCCAATGAATATTCCAACAAACTTAATTTTATGTTGGAATAAGTGTTGGATGGTTGAGGAATTCCTACGGATTTTTTCCGTTGGAATAGTTGTAAGAATTTATTTCCATAAGATTTTCCGTTGGATTTTAGCTATTCCAATGACCATTTTTCCTATGAATTTTTATTCGTAGGAATATCCGTTGGAATAGTTATTCCAACGGAAAATATAAAGAATTCCAACGAAAAATTTTCGTTGGAATGTAAGTTTTTTTTGTAGTGAATCCAGCTCTTACATAATGGCAGGATTTCTCATCCTTAATTACTTTCTTGTTGTTAGTTGTGTTTGTTAGTTTCTGTGTAGTTTTGGTAGTTGTGGTTTAGTTGGGTTCTTGTAGTTGTGGTTTGTTGGCTTTGGTTCTTCTTATTAGTTGGTTTTGTCTGGTTTCAGGGGTAAATGATCTTAGCTAGACATTTTGCGGTGGTTAAGAAATCCCTTTGATAGTTTGTGTCTAGTAGTTTGTGTGCACCCTGGAGTTCGATTCTAGGCCGCCTTTGGCTTGTCCACTCAGTTTATGTTTCGGTTTGATTGTGTTCTTGTATTCGAACTTTGTTTCCTTGTAATATAATATATCTATCATTTCGAAAAAAAAAAAAAAAGACAACAACTACTTGATTAAACAAAAACGAATAAACCAGGCAGTTTTATTACGGTATGTGAAAATAAAAGAATAAATTTACATAATGAACGTACAAGCCGCAAGTGCTAGCAATCATGATGACCAAACCCCAATATATAAATACGACGTACGAAATCAGTGTAAATAATGTACTAATAAACGTCCTAAAAAAAATAGATAAATCAAATTAAGTTATATATGTACAATAGCCACCGTGAATCTCCCCTTCATCCAGGACTAAAATAAACACAGCCGGCAAAGGGATTCAATTTACTAAATTCCACATATATCAACTAACTTAGAAAAATCAGAAAAACCAACGTACGTATGTCGTTTTAAACAAGTCTTGATCATCGATCATCAGTAGCTCCACAAAGACTCCAAATCAGATATGTCGGGACTGAAACCGATTCCCTCGAGTTCTTCATGATCACCAAACGCTGCCGCCTTATCATCGCTCTCAACGTCACCCATTGTTTGCAACGATGTAATCTCGTTCGCCACATTTTCCGTGCTCAGTCCGGTTTCTTGTGATTGGCTGATTTTGACCGAGTTGTTACTCGAAAAATGCTCCATTTTTGCCCTTATTACTGAGCTTTGACCTTGCAGTATTTCTGTCTGACAAGGGAAAACTGAAGCCGGAAGGGCAATTTGGGAATAAATGGTGGGATCACCGGAGAATGCGTAGTGAAAGTTTACGGGGTCATGGTGCAAATATTGTGAGTTTTGGTTGTTGATGAGTGCTCTTGATGAGGCAATAATATGCAGCGTTGATTGATCTTCTTCTGGTTTGCAATTTGGTCCTTGGTTAAGGGAGAAATTATTATTAGAGTTGTTATTGTAGTCCATCAAAGGGGGGAGCGAGGGGCTATCTAATAGATGATCTATGAATGAGTCCATCCTTGATAATTGTAACACTGCAGCTTGTGGTGGGCCTCTTTTGATTCCTGCACAGTGCTTGTGAAAGACTCTACAAACAACGAACTCCTCCTGTCATTCACATGGTAATCAAGATACATCTCATTAGCTAGTATTTGTCAATAATTATTTTTCATGCATAAATGAAGCTAGGGACATGCTTGTACTATAAGATTCTATTATGTTCGGTAAAACTCGCTGAGTAGCTTATAAGTAATTTTCGAATTTATAGCTAAGCTTATGACTTATATATGAAAAAGTAGCTTATATGGTAAAATTATTTAGTAAGTAATTTATAAGCTAACTGAAATAAACATTTCAATTAGCTTATTTGAAAATCTACTTAAAGAAGTCGAGCTTTTTAAAAAAGTTGCTTAACATGAAAATTAAAGGATGCTTTTATTGCATTTAATTATATTCAGTAACTATTAATTAGAAGCCAATTTTAGGAACGAGGAAATGAAGTTAGTATTATTATTTTTGAAGAAAGGTTAAATTTATAAATTAATAATTAGAGCATGTATGTATGTATGTATGTATGTATGTATGGTATTTATTGGTACCTTAGCTGTCCTAGAGATGTTGTAGGTTGTGAAATTTCCCTCGAGCCTGTACTCATGCATCACCCAATTGGTCTTTTCACCTTTAGGAGCTCTCCCTTTGTAGAAAACAAGGGTTTTTTTCATGCCTACAAGGCAGTTTCCAGACTTGTAGAATATCTCTTTGTCTTTGCCGGTTGCCTTCCAATAACCCGATTCTGTCGCTCTGTTCGTTCTCATGCCCGTTGGGTACTTTCTGTCCCTTTGGAAAAAGAAGAACCATTCGTTTTCGCCCATCTTTGCCTTCTCTGTAAAATCGTTCATTCCATATATATAAATATCAACTTGATAAAAAAATGTATTATAAGAAGGTGAGTATAGGTGCACAAATGATATTTTTACAGAAAAAAATAAAAGAAGATATAATAAAACAAGAAAAAAAATTACTTGGTAAATCCCATGGTTCACACTTATTAAGATGAGCGTCGGCAATAGCCCTGGCAGTGAAGCGTCTATCGATGGCCTTATTGAGGAGATAGTGCATGATAATCTCCTCGTCCGTTGGATGAAACCTGAAGCCCGGTGGAAGCTCCTCTATTTCCGCAAAACCATCATCACAACTACTTTCTACCCTTCCTCCTTCCATATTATCAAATCTTCTTTCAACAAAACACTCGCCTTCGAAATTACTTACTTACTTACTTTTCGAGCTGTATATGATCTTGTATGTATGTATGACATGTTAGGTGGTGGAAAAATAATGAAGCAAATGAGAAAGAAGATGAAATAGGGAGGAGAGGGTGTTGTTATATAGAGAGAGAGAGAGATGAGATTGAAATAGAAAGGTATTGTGAAAGTTCCTTAGGGAGAAAGGAAGAAAAGAGTGGTGGGAAATGTATTTATATATATTTGCTATTAAGGGACGAAAACCTCCTCCCTTTAGACTTTTTCCTTAAATTATGTTCTCCCGAAAATTTAGTGGAAATTGTGCATGAATTGTGCCTCAAGTTCATTACGCTTAAGCTATATATGACCTTGATTTCATTGTGGGCTATCTACAGCTACACCTACACACATATTAACGTGGCTCATGCTTCATTATTTCTCTTTGGATCTTTCTATTATTATTCTTAGATTTTAACTGCTCTATGAATTGTTTATATATCTTAATTTTTTACTAGGATATGAGAATACACCACACTATGATATGTGAGCGGCCTGGCTCGCTAGCTGTTACTGTTGGTCAAATTTTACAATGTTGGGTAGGGTAGGATATGAAAATTGTCAGTCATAGATCAGAGTGAACAAGAAATCACCTCATATGTGTGATACATCCTAACCGTTGGATCGACCTAATGTTCATTTTTTACAATATATATATATATATATATATATATATATATTACATTAAAATTTTTTACATTTTGTTTATTTTATTTTTTTAAAGCATAACATTTCAGTTGAAAAATATGTAAATTTTGTTGAAAAGGTATGAATGTCTAAATGTAATGTGTGTCTAATATTAGCCTTAATGAAATTGAATACACTAAAATTTCAACGAAATATTTCAATGGAGTTACAACCCAATTCCAGTGAATAATGCAATGTTATTATTTCTGTTGGAATTTTTCACTGAATTCCAATCAAAATTCCAACAAAATAATCTTGTGAGATGAGTTTTTCATTGTGATTTTCGTTGGTTTTTTATGACTCCAACTGTAGGTTTTCCACTGATTGAAATATGAGTGGAAATTAAAATTTCGATATGAATTCATACAATAAAAATCATTGAAAAACAGTCGTTGAAATCATCGAATGCCCTCTAAAATTCTATTGGAAAACTCAATATTCCAACATTACATTTTCATTAAAATTTCAGTTGGAATCATTCTAGCGAATGCTATATCATTAAAATATTTGTTAGAATTTTATTATAATATATTATCGTAGAATTTTTCCTAAAAATTGACAATTTTGTTGTAATGATTATATAGAAACAAAGGATAAACTCATCTCAACACAAGGATCCCTAGCTCAGCTTTTGCCAGCATTGGAATCCTTCCAATATATTGGATATCTTCTTCTAATATGACATATGTTTTAGTAATTCTTCTTCTAATGCTTTGTTCTTTTTCTTATATAATTACCCCTTTCTTATTTGTATATATTTATTTAATATATATTTTTCTTTTTTTTGTTGCTTAAAAAATTGCAATTTACAAATTTTACCGTCAAGAAAGTAAAGAGTCGATTGCTGTCGTCATGCTGATGATATATATCTTGAGAGTAGGGATTGGATGGGGCTTCTTGAAGAAGATACACGTTTTGGACGACGCGTAACACTCTGGAAAAAGCCTGGATTCTGTTGATAGCGATATTCAATGAGTTTGTGATCAAATTGTCAACATGTATAAAATGGATTAGTGAAAAAAAAAAAAAAAAATGAAAAAAGATACAGATTAGATGTGAATATTTCATAATTATCGCATTGACTTAGAAAATGAGATTTGATTACTTTCGATATATAGCACAGTTCGCAAGTTCGAATAGGCATGCCCAGTCTTATTACATAAAACAACATGTCTAGATACTTAAACTGTGATTCTATATAAGTTACAATAGGTTTTAACCAATTATGACTGGTTAGATTATTTCATATTCAATCATCTAACTCATAGTTCAATTCAATTTAATTATCTTATATTTTATAAATACTAGTAAAGTGCACGTACACCGCGATACATAATTTATATCTTAATGTGACTTTAAATTATATTTGTCTTTTTATATTTTTATAATGTATTCAATTTTTTTACATTATTATTTTCAATTAATCAAATACACGAAGTACATTACATATTGAACTGTGTCCACTGTTTTAAAAATCTAGCGCCTGGACAACGACCAGACGCTAGGCATGCCCGACCGCCTCTGATTTGCATAAATCGGCTGAAAAAATCGGCCAGACGACTAGACAGTGCCTAGTCAGGCATAGGTGGTCTCAAAGGCAATTTTTCAATTTTATTTTTTTAAAATATTAATTACATTATTTTGTTATCATTTTTCTTTAAAATACATTAATATTTAGGTGTGTTGATTTATTATAAGTTGAAATAATTTTATTTTGTAGGCACTGAAAAATAAATAAAAAAATTAAAGTATTTAATCTTGATTTCTATGCCCCGCCTAGGCGCTAGGCGTCGGTCGAGCACCTAGCAGACGACTAGCGACTTCTAGAACACCGACTGTATAAAATATATTGAAAGTTGAAATACAATTTTCAAAATAATAATACTTTTTAAAAGGCATAGTGAAAAAGATGACATGAAAATTTTGGCTGAGAGACCTTCATTATCTAGTTAATCTTGTTTATTTCAAACTTTTTTTTTTGTATGAGCAAGATTGAAAAATATGTATAGTAAGACTCAATTAAAACCATTTAAAAGAATAATTGCGTGTGATAATTTACAATTTTTTCTTCTTACCTTGTTGAAGGAGATCATTCTTTGTTATTATTTTTATTGACTAAATAATACAGTCATAATTCAATTGATATATATTAACAAAGTATTTAAATATTATTCATATTATGTTCTCTTTTACAGAGACATAGTTTTCATTTGTTTTATTTCAATTGATCCAATTAATTATAGTTATTTCTATGAGTTATAAATACATACTAAAATTCACGTTTTCGTAGAACTTTAGTTTGTATTTTTTTCATTCAAATACTATTTTATTTTTCAAGGACCATTACAAACATATGGTGCACAGTCTCCTTTAGATTTCAATAATCTTAACAGATAAAATTAAAAATCATTAAAATTATATTTTTGATAAAATATATTTTATTTTTCACTTAAGGAATAAATCGATTTAGATTAAAGATTCATATTGTGTTATAATGAGTGATAATTTTGGCCTTCAGGTCACATATAATTAATGCTAAAAAAATGCGATTGATTAACTTATGTAAATATCAACAAATTAATGTGTAGCGAACTACATAAAATGTATAATATTTACATAACTACAAAGCATTAAAATTCCCTCTAATGCGTGATGTAGATGAACCATAATATTATAAACTTGGTCAAATTAAACATATATATACACATTAAACTTGGTCGAATTTTTTTTCTAGCATTTGTTACTAAATATATATATATATATATATATATATATATATATATATATATTTCATTCAAGTTGTCTTTATCTACTTCAGTTCAAAATACAGAATGATAGTACAACCTGAGGTGTCTTTATCTACTTGAGCACAAATAAAACCTAGGCTGAGTTAGAAGAAGATAAACTCAGGAGAGGTGAAATATGGTTTACCATTGGGGATTGGAATGACATCTGCTTCAAAGAAGATAAGAGAGGAGGCAGGGCCAGAAGTGGAAGAAGTCTACAGAGTGATGAAAGAAATAAAAATGATGGTACGAGAATATCTTCAACTAACTTATCTAGTAATAGCGGTACGAGAATAGACTACAGTAACAGTAGCATTTTCTTTAGAATAATTGAGACTGGTAAACCGACAATGTTCCGATGAGAAGGTAAATGAGGCGATGGGTAGTGGTATTGTTTTCTGTCATTTTGAGATTTAGGTAGGGTTGAACCCTTTTTTCAATTTTTGAACACTAAACAACTAATCCTTGTTTAATATTTTAAAAAATCATTGTTTTAATTTTTTTACCTTTATCGTTTCGGTATTGGTTTTACCGAACACTTATGGGTTCAAATCCGATACCGAACAGATAGTGACGGTAACCGATTGTCGGTTACAGTTACAAGCGGTTCAGTACAGTTCGGTTTATTTCTCATCGGTTCGGTTTGGTTCGGTTCGATTTTCAGTTTTCGATTAAAAAATACCAACCCTAGTTATCCTTTCATTTGGGCAAATAACAGAGACACAGAGGGCTTTGTGATCATTTAACCGGACAATCACTTGCCCGATAATTGCATTTCGAACCAAAACAGATATCCCCGACTCCTTAGATTCTTTATTCTTTCTTGCTCATCGTCTTTGTTTTGAAGTTTCAGTTTGTTTTGTTTGAGTTCATCGTAGTTGATAATCAAACCCAATCCTCCGAATTAAAATATTTAGGTTTTTTTTTTTT